ACCATGAAGTATCTTAAAGGTCCACCATGAAGTATCTTAAAGGTCCACCATGAAGTATCTTAAAGGTCCATGGTTTTAAATAAATGGCTTGAATAACTGTGTTCTGCTGCATTGCGGGAGGGCTACCACAGTTCCTCCAGGAACTAAAAACAGTGGGTGATGATTAAAGCAAATCAGCCATGTTGTAATCCCCACACACAGAGGAACCATCTCTGGGGAGGCTTGCATATACTAGTTCAAACTAGATTCTCCAGAGGCCAACAGAGAAAGAAAGGACTTTTGGAGAAATGACTGAGTTTAAATGGACTCAGGGCCTTCTTTCTGATTGAGCAAATGAACAGGACCTTCTGTCCAAAAGGGGGCTCCAATCCTTTGAGGGAGGAGTTGGAAGGACTGCAGCCAACTGAAGCCCCATAAGACTGATGGATGACCTCTGGTAAGCTTTTGGCAGGATATAGGACCTTCGATTGTTTTTAATATGTTTTCTCTATAATGCTTTCACCTTAAAAATAAATGTGCTTGCTTATAAAGAGCTGTGTAGTAACGTATAAGTGCTAGCAATTACAGCTGTTCATAACCTTCAAAGAGAAAGCAAAGTGCAGATGTTGGCCTTTTTAGGCAGTCTGGCTTGCTGGAAATATTACAGCGAAGGTAGGAAACTATGCAGCCTGGGACAAACCCTGGTCAGGAGAGAGAGAGACATGGGTCTCTACCCAAGAGAGCTGACAGCTGAGGAGCCAGGAGCCTAGTGTGGGTGTCCTTGGTGGATCACTGAGGGCGAATACAGTGCAGGTGCCTTGAACTGTGACACACACATAGCAGTGTACAATTAAAACAACAATAAAACCCCACCAAAAGCAAACACTGCTCACACAATTCTCATCTAAGGGAGAAGATGAAGGAAACAATAAACACGTGACAGATGTTAGGCATATTGCTTAATGCACTACTGGAAGGTGTTCAGATACTGCAGTGATGAGGGAGGTATAGGAGTTTATATAGAATAGAAATAGAATATAATAATAAACACACACAAGTCCATACGGGAATAATCTATGAGTTTATCAATTTTTTGTCCAGGCTTTTAAAGGACTGAGAAATTGGAGTAATTTTTTCTGTTAACTGTTAGAATTTTATGTACAATAAAGCCTGATCCTGCTGCCACTGAAGTCAATTGCAAAACTCTCATTGACTTCAATGGGAGCAGGACTTCACTATGACAAAAATATTAAAATGATAGTTCCCAATAAAAGGGCAAAGCATCAGATCTCTGGACTGTTTATTCTAATTTGGTATTAAAATAGTAATAATAATGAGACCATGTACTGACATAACACTTTTCATCTAAGGATCTCCAAGAACTTTACAAAGACTGATTAACACTTTGAAATCTTGAACAAGTGACTTAACCTCAGATTACCAGTTTGTAAAGTGAGTCAATGACACAGTTTAGGACAGAACCCAGGAATCATGATATATTTTAAATATTTAAATCCCCCCGTCTGCTAGGAGTATGCTCTGCTACCAAACCTACAAATAGTCATAGATACAATAACTGCTCAGCACTATACTTTCCATATTAAAATTCACAGATGGCTAAAAGGAGACTGTACTAAGTCAGAGGATGGGATGAAGAAGAAAAAAGTGCATTAGGAATGAGACTGATAAAACATCGCACAAAGGAATTTATGTGAAAAGAGCTTCTGAGTATTGTTATAAAACTAAGGATGAAATCATGACTCTTTTGAAGTCAATTGGAGCATTTTCATTGGTTTCAGTGGGGCCAAGATTTCACCCTGAGTTTTCTACATATTCTTGCAGCAGCATAACCTCATCCTGCTCCAGAGATTCAGAACTCCTGTTACTCAGCATTTCTTTTAACCCATTCTTAAATGTACAATTACAAAGAACTTTTCAGGAGCAAGCAAAAGTATATACTTGTTTTAAGTATTTTTTGTATAAATTATAGATGGTATTTTGCACTACAATACAATCAATAAACTACAAATCAAATAGTATCAACCAACTCAATAACATACATTTTTACAGTTGACTGCACCTAAACTAGGATCTGTAGACCATAAAATTATAGTCCATGAAAATAAAACTGGGTCAAGAATCATTTAAAGATGAAGGGCTTCCTCCTCAAGCATGCATGTGAGTAACTTTGCCTGTGTGTTACATGTATGTATTATATGTGAATCCATTTACATGTGTTTTTGCAGGATCTGGCCCTAACCCGTTTCTTTCTCAGCACATTCACAGACATCTAACAACCACCTAGATTTCTTAAGTTTTGTGGATGTTATTTCAGAAGAGAGTCTGCATCTACAAATTTAACTGGCAAAGGAATTCATGGTAGACACTGACTCACTGCATTTGTGCCCTATTCAGTTATTTATTTATTTTATTTGGAATTTGTACATCATAATTTTCTGTAGTTTAATACTTTTTCTCCTTTAAGAAAATCTCCTATTTAATGTGACTGGAGTATGTATTTGATGAAGGGATGCCATCCTGCTCTGTGCTTAAGGAAATTAATGTGCAGGTTCCACGGGGAAAATGTTATCGCGTATTGATCATTCAGATGATTTTAATATCCCAGGGCCATTTCATTCCTGGTATAACCTTACTGAAACCAGTGAAATTACATCAGTGATGAATTTGGCCCCTGAGGTCATGCTATCAGACTGTGTAAACTCAGGGCCCTCATACCTGTAGTATCTGAGTACCTCATACACGCTAATGAATTAATCCTCACAATATCCCGGTGAGGTAAAGTAGTACTATTATTCCCATTTTATTGGTGGAGACTTTAAGCCCCGATCCTGCAAGTTACAATGCATGGGGGAACCTCTGTGTCTGTGCAAAGCCCAGTGGGCTCCATGCAGGTGCAGAGATCCACTAGCATCGATCTTCTTGCGGGACTAGGGCTTTTATAATTTGTCCAGATTTGCACAGCCAATCAATGGCAGTGCCAAGACTAGTACCCAGGTCTTCCAAGTTTCAAGCCACCAAAATATTTCTTCACAAATCTCCCAATCCAATTTGAAGAGATATTTTCATTTTAAATACCCTTAAACAGCGGAAATAGAAGGTCTTTTAATATGAGAGGCTATTTTTCCACTCTCCTCTTTGCAAAGGATAATATTATTGTTTGAAATGAAAAAATCCCACTTTTAAATTTTAACTTTCTGCAAGCAGAATGCCAGCAGTAAATTTAGATAGTAGATGCATGCAAGTGAATATTGTTTACCTTTGCAGATACCAAATTCATCACCAAAGTCATCCTCCTCAGTGTAAAACTGGCACTTCAGCCCAGGCCCACATTTGACACCATCCATACCTGAGACAGTGCGGTAGCAAGTCTCCCCCAAGGCTGCTGCACAGACTCTGCAGCAGCCACAGTCATCAAGCACTGTTCGCTTACAGCGCAAAGTACTTTTACACACATTACTGTCACAAGGTTCGGGGCAATCTACTGCATATTTTGCACTCCAAGCAGTTCCGATGTGCACTGGTACCAGGAGGATGGTGAAAAACAGGAAGCTCTTCATGTCTCACAGTGATAAATGCTCAGTTCCAAAGAGCAGGTTTAACGTTCAGGCTTGTGGTTTTATGCTGAAGGAAGCGGCAATAAGGAATCCAAAGTAGTAGCTGCACATCAGCCTACAAGTTTATGAGCTTTATACCGTGTGTTGCCCACATGCTTCACCGTCGTCAATTTCCTCAGTCCGACAGTGCTGTCCTCCTGCCAGCCTCCCTTGTTTTAGTTTGTGAAATCCAGGATGAAGGTTGGATTAGCACTCTGCTGCCATCCAGGAATTGAAAAGCCTGAGCTGATGTAATCTGTTATGTTTAGTTGGTTGTTTTGCATGAGGACTAAAAACGCTCTCACATCCGTCTCAAATGCTCAAGGACGTCTGCCAAAAACAAAAACAAAAAAATTCAGTAGGTTACATACCTTCTTTCAGGACAGGAATTGTTCTGACGCTGAACATATCACTTACAGAACCGCTTTGTCCTACAAATAGTGTTCATGAGGCCAGGTGAAAAATCATGTCCAACTGTATCAGTGCTGAAGGAAGCTCATTTTAAAAAATAAGTCCTTGCTTTCTCCTCAATAAGTAAATGAATGGCTACTTTAAAGAAGAAAATGTGATTATGCCATTTAGCTAACATAAGAGCAAAAAAATGCGATTGATACTTTTGTTGCTTTGCACTGAACAGGATACTCATAAAAACAAAAGATCAGTTTCATCAGCATTTAGTTAGATATATTTTTCATTCAAAGAGATCAATGCTAAACCTACTAAATGAGTCAGACAGAAGTCAGGACATTATAGGTCCCACTCCAGAAACTTCAGAAAATGATCAATTTCCTAAAATTACCTAAAAATCACAGGGAAAAGCTCAGCCTCTCACCATCACTGTCTACACAGGCCCAAAGTGATTTCCTCCCACCTACTCCAGTTTCACACTGATCTCACTTCAACAACTTAGGCAGTGTTACTCCTGAGTCCCGCCAGGGTAGCTGATAGGAGAATTAGGCCCAAAGTCCTTACTCCTCCCCAGTTTGAGGTTTATTCCAACTGTCAGAGCCATGACAAGAAATGGCAAACAGGCCAGCAACTCAGTAAAACAGATGAGTCAACAGAGAGATAGAAACGTTTTGATGCAAAGGAAAAATCTCCAGAAGAGTTAAAAATCAATATAATCACTAAACAAATCTCTAAGGCCCAAATCCTGCTGCCATCAAAGTTAATAGGAACAGGATCAAGCCCTAAATCTGTATGTGGCTACCTATCCTTCTATGTTGTTAACCTTGCCTTCTCTAACAAACATATAGCAACATGTGGGCGTGGGGATAAATATAACAAAAATTCCAAACCAAAACACTCCAGTACACATACTTCTCCCCCCTGGAGAGATGGTGAGAGAACAAACACACGACAGCTGTTAGTCACATTGCTTAAGCCCAGGGCTGGCCTTACCATGAGGCGAACTGAGGGGGCCGCCTCAGGTGCCAGACTATGGAGGGGCGCTACTGGGACCCAGAGTGTAGTGTCTGCTGCTGGTGTATATGTATTCTGTCTGCTCTAGATGCACAGAGATGGTGGAGTGCTGTGCTGGAGGAAGGAGGGCACAAGAGACATAGCAGGCAGGCAGGAGAAAAGGTGAGAGGGAATAACAGAAAGCAGCAGAAGCTGTAGGGAGAGAGAGGAGGAGGAGCCTCTTATGTAGCACCCTCAGGAGCCTGGACTGATTAACACCAGCTTCTCAGGGAGCTTCCTGTTTCCTCCCGCTTCCCTGAACCCACTTGAGGAAAATAGGCGATCAACTGAAGTAGTAGGAGCCAGTTAGGCCCTTAAGACACTGATATCTTCCCTCACTCAGGCCCTGCTACCAGCCTGCTTATTTGTCCCCTTCAATTGAGTGTTGAGAGCCACTATAGCTGGCACAGAACAGCAGTCATGAGTGAAAGAAAAAAACACCCCTCTGGGGCAGCATTCAGAAAAAAAAGAAAGAAAGCAAAGGAAGCTTTTCTATCTAAGCAGGAAGGAGCTCTTCTGAGATACATAGACACAAATGTTCATGGTGAGCCTTCCGGCCCCAGTGAGGATGTGAGTGGTGAGGAGATGCCTGATCTTCCAGTTAGTCAGAGTGCAGGTGACCTGGCAGCTACTGCAGCATCCATATCTCCATCTCAAATGGATGTAACCATGCACATTCCTGAAGAAAAGTGTAGATCAGAGACGAGTGTGGTGGAGGCACAAGAAACAGCTGCTGCTGAGTTTAGTTCCTTAAGTCTAGATGATCCAGGACTGTGGACCCACTTGAGCAGTAGCCTGAGGGACTTCCTTGTCCTGCATGGGCCACAGAAAGAGAAAAACAATGTTTCCCAAAGACAATGAAAATAGAAGTTTCCATCCAACACATTACTGGCATGAAACCCCCAATGGTGACAAAGTGGAGAGGCCATGGCTTATGTACTCAAAAACCCAGAATGCTGCATACTGTTTTTGTTGCAAACTCTTCCAGTCTAATGTTCCAGCCACATTGGGTTCTACAGGAACAAAGGACTGGAAGAATCTGGCTAGAAATCTGGCATGCCATGAGAAGGCAGCAAATCACCAGAGAGCATTCCATAGGTGGAAGGAGCTTGGGATTAGACTAAGGTTAAAGGCCACCATAGATGATCAGCATCAAGAGAAGATTACATCAGAGTCTCTTTACTGGCAAAATGTTCTGAAAAGGCTCATTGCCATTATGAGAATGCTTGCTACCCAAAACCTAGCACTGCGTGGCACTTCAGATCAGCTGTATGTGCCAAACAATGGAAACTTCCTTAAAATTGTGGAGCTGATGGCTGAGTTCGATGCTGTACTCTAGGAGCATCTAAGAAGAGTCACCACCCAAGAAATGTACACACACCACTACCTTGGAAAAACAATTCAAAATGAGATCATACAGTTACTGGCAACAAAAGTCAAACAGAAGATTGTGGCAGATCTGAAGTCAGCAAGATATTACTCTGTTATTCTGGACTGCACACCTGACATCAGCCATACGGAACAAATGACTTTAATGGTGCATTTTGTAACAACAACAGAAACTAGTGAAAATGTCCCTGCAATGGTGACTGTCAGAGAGCATTTTCTAGAATTTATTGACATTGATGATACTACAGGAGCTGGTATGACAAATGTGCTTCTTAAAAAGCTGGAAGATACGGGAATTGCTATAGCTGACATGAGAGGTCAGGGCTACGATAATGGTGCCAACATGAAAGGAAAGAACAGAGGAGTGCAGACATGGATCCGACAGTTAAACCCTCAAGCTTTTTTTGTCCCATGCAGTTCTCATTCATTGAACTTGGCGGTCAGTGATGCAGCATCAGCTTCTAGTGAGGCTGCTGAATTTTTTAATGTAATTCAAAGCATCTATGTATTTTTCTCTGCATCAACTCATCGATGGCAAATTTTGAAGCAACATCTGGGAACATCCTCTCTGACACTGAAACCACTGAGTGCCACACGATGGGAAAGGCGAGTGGAGGCGATAAAGCCTA